GATTTTTGAGAAAATTAAAGGATTTTAAGTGTGCCTTATAGTGTGGAAAATACGTTATACAGAAGAAAAGAATATATCGTGATATATATCGTTACCGCACGTGCTTCAAATTATACCGCAATATGGATTTTAAGCCATATCGCCCAGCCCTAAAAAGTATGAAGCTTGCTAATCATTATTTACTTTGTTTCAGTAACTAAAAATGTCACCAGAAAATAAATGAGCATGAAAAGCCCCCCGGTGTTTTCCTTTCCACATTTGAAGATACAATTTGTCATTGTGTCTTCAGTGATTATTTGCTTTTCTTTTAGATTCAAAAACCCTGACAGAGGCAGAAAGAGAGAATCTTTTTGAAAAACTGGATGAAGCTAAGAGTTATGTTGGGTGGGCTCTGCAGATTCTGTCGCCAAACACCATCTCTACCTGCATGTTACGGAGGTAATTTGCGCATACAGCGCCATGCGCTTGGAGGTTTGTTACCATCATTCATGCAGACTAACATAATGTGTATTTTTCCTTCAAGGACAAAATACAACCTCAACGCCCTTTCACACGATACAGCAATAGACCTTGTACAGTATGCTTTGGACAGTGGAGTACAGCTTAAAGAGGTAGGTAAACAGTTTACATGAAATGTTTAAATATGTGCACATTATTCTTTTAATATAGGGTCCGCAATGTCCTGTATAGGTCATATTTCCTCTATGTTCCTAAAAGCTAAATCTGCTTTGAAACTGTCCTTTGAGCCTAAGGGGGCACTTTTGTGTGGGTGGGCAGTTAAAGGGCAGGGGCATTGTGGAGAGCCACACTAATAAGGTGGGTTTAACTGTGCTCAGTATTAATCTCTTTAAACTCTCTTGATGTCTGTATAAACAGTTTCTGGTAAGAGAAGATGCTACAATTAAGCAATGAAAATGTGAAATAGAGCTAGTAAAAACACCATTATTTTATCACTATTTAATCAACATTTCCAAAAATTAAAGAAGAAAAGTTACATGTTTTTGTAAAATTTCAAAGACTTTTCATTTTAAACAAAGCACTTTTGCTGTTTTGGTTATAGTTTTAATTACTTTATCTGCAGTTTTTAAGTTCTTTTTTTCTTTTTCAATGAGAGAATCTTTTTTGGGCTTGAACAAGTAAATTCAAGTTGGGTTTAATACCTGAGATGCATTATGCCTTATGGACCTTAGAGCTCTGGATGTGCTTGCCTTTCTTCTTAAAAAACAATTTTATATTTCTGCTCTCAGGTCCCACACTCTTGCCCATGAATGAGCCACATACAGCTGTGTGGTAGCCTCTGTCACCATTCAGACACTTTATCTTGCATCTGCTTCAAAAGTCAGACTTTTTGTTTTGTTATAATACCTGCCATTACACCTGCAATTTATTCCATTACAGCCTATCCAAGCTTGCAGTTTCCTAACTTTCACTGACCTCAAACCTTTTTGTTTTCCAACGTCGAAAAATGTGTTGCAGACTTTATAGCTATTATGGAGCCAAGGAGACAAAGTTCAATCAGAAAACAGAGTTGTCTGCTTTGTTTTTCAATGGAAACTCCATACTTCCTGCAAATTCTATCTGTCTTGTTACTGTTTGCCTTGAGATGGACACATTCCCCAATGCTTCTTTTTTCCCCCTCATGTTAGTGGGCATATTAGTGCAGAACAGTCCACCAATGACCTCCGCTACAGGTGGTCTAGAACCGTACATCCCAGGTCTGATCTACTGTATCGTCAAATAAAAACCAAAATATAATAAATCGCTGTCTTATCGCAGCTTTATTATATTTAAAGTAGTAATTATCCTTTTTGTTTAACTGTTTTAAGTTGTAGCGCCGAGTGATCCAACCTGACTTTTTCATTGTGTATTATTTGCCTCGGTCTTAACTTTTACTATCTCTGTGTTGTTGTGCAGATTTATGTGGACACAGTTGGCCCAGCGGACAAGTATGAGCATAAACTCTCTCAGCGGTTTCCGGGTATTCAAGTGACTGTGAGGCCAAAAGCTGACTCCCTGTTTCCAGTTGTGAGTGCAGCCAGTATCTGTGCAAAGGTTAGTGATCAGTCCTCAGCTGGATTTAAGTTTTTTCTGTTTTTAAATTCCTTGGCTATTAGAGTTGGTTGGTACTTTATTATCTCTAGGGTGTAAAGCTACCTTCAGAGATTTTATTGAAGTATTGAAATAAGTAGTTTTTACAAGCTGTAGTAAATGCAAAACAGTTGTGCATTGGATTTTGCACAACTTCACTATCAGGCTAAAGAGAAGCATTTGAACAATAATACAAAATTATGTCCTTATTCGTGTAAGGATTACGCACTTTTTATGGTATTTTTTTTTAGTGATATATCTTATGCGATTATTTAGTGTAGAAAACAGAGTTTTGGTTCTTCAAATATTCAGTATTTTACATTGAGATGTTTTTTTTCTCCACTTAATTGTTTCTGGTTTACTGCAGTAGACAGCAGACCAAAAGGAGCAATTTTCCTTTTGCGATTATTGACCTACCGTTGCTGTTACTAAAGAATATTCATATTTTATATTTCATATTTTCAGCTCTTAAAGAGTTTTCTGGTGCTATTTTTTGGTTTGCAGGTTGCTAGGGATCGTGTCGTGAAAGGCTGGAACTTTACAGAGGACTTGGGAGAGGTGGATACAGACTATGGCTCAGGGTACCCTAATGGTAGGAAACCATGCACATATGTTATTATCCATCCACAATAACATGTTTTATTTTAAACTAAAAGTTTGTTTTGCTTAAGTAAAAGTATGTAAAGTTAGTGCTGTGGAACAATAAAGTAGAGCAAACTTCTGAAATGTTGCTGTGAGTGTGGGTACAAACATTTTACACTGACCATAAATGATAAGTCATATTAACCTAGTTAACTTTAAATTAAATGCACTTAATATACCTTAGTGTAGCTGTTAAAGCTGGGGTGGGCCACACAGTGAAAATTTGAACTTAAACATGGCACATAAACAGTGTAGAATTACTTTAACCTCAATGGAAAAAATATGACTTATTACATTATTACATATCACTGCCTTTGTGCCATTTAAAAAAAACAAACAAAAAAAACCAAACATTTCTTTGGAAAATGTTTTGTTTTTTTGTTTTTTTTGTTTTGTTTTTTTACAATTAATTTCTGCATCAGCTTTATATATTATACAATATATTTAATGCTGACACTTTTTATGAAAAGATACATGGTTGTATTCAGTCTCACTATGGGATGCGTCTCCCCCAGAAGCTCATTCATCAGAAGTTTTTATCTCATTCCACAAATCCTGATTGGCTGGTGATTGCCACTACCACTTTGGACAGAACCACCCACCCTTAAATAAGATAAGATAACCTTTATTAGTCCCACGCATGGGAAATTTGTTAAAGAGCTTACAGTATTATGTAACTTGTATTTAAACACCTCTTCTCGCTTCGGAGCATATCTCAACCTGCTTAGGCTAGCTGTGGCGACAAAATCTAGAGTAAAAATGCACACCAAGTCTGCGGAGTATGTTGCTTGTTGCTACTTCTAAGTCCCACAGGCACACTCAACATGTCCCCCCGCCGCGTCCAGACTCACTGCAGAGGGCACAGTCTAGAGCAGTGGTCCCCAACCTTTTTTGCGCCACGGACTGGTTTAATGTCAGACAATATTTTCACGGACCGTATCGCGGATAAATACAGCAAAATAAAATGATACAACCAAGGCAAAAACGGTGGTATTTTGTAAATATAATAATTAACGCAAATTCACTGTGTAATTGTGTAACTTTATTAGCAGCGTCCTCCTTAAATGCGCCATCAACATTAAGAATAAAATCCTCCTCTCTGCCCCTTAATGTTCTCTGGTCGCTATGGTGATGCGTAAATATTTCTTTCAAAATAACAAAATAAGACACTCGACTACAACACGGGAAAAAACCCAGGGAAAACGAGTTAACGGTTTTAAAAATCCTGTAAACCATAAATTTTACACCCGAGCCTCAACTCTCGCAGCCCGGTACCAAACGACTCACGGACTGGTACCAATCCGTGGCACTGGGGTTTGTCTAGAGCGCTCAACAAGTCAATAAACAACACTATGGCACTGCTGCCTCAAGAGGGCGCTGCTGCCCACCTCAGTAACCATGCTATAACCCAGGATTTCCCAACCTTTTGGAATCACAGTACATATTTCACATTATAAAAATCATACGGCACACCACCAAACAAAAATGTCACATAAGACATATTGATCATTTTTCCCCGTGCACCAGGTATAGCGGAATGGGCTCGTTTGTCCCCAGTTTACCTTTTTTGCATGTTAGGGCCTTCATCTGGCTCTGAACAGGACCCAGGTTAAATTGACTACTTTTTCTTTTCAAATATTTATCGATTGCTGTTACATACTGCATTGTCTCACTGCATGACTATTATGTAATTTCTTCGTTGTCTTCTGTTTCCCTGGCAGTTAGCAACTCTTTTAATTAAAGCAGGTAGTTGTACTGCCCTCTAGTGGAAGACAATGTAATTGTTCTGCCCGTTGCTTAGAGTACTAATCAGGTCGAACCAGATATTCTTCCACGGCACACCTATGTGCTGCAGCACAGTGGTTGGGAAACACTGCTATAGCCGATGCTGTAAGAAGCTTGACACCCTACGCGTGCTAGTGCTATCTAGGTGTTACAACCATATTCTGCAACTAGATGTCCCCATAACACAAGTGTTTAGGACACGCAGGGTGGGCGAGACATCGCTCCTTCTCTCTCTCTAAGAGAGAGAGAGAGAGAGGCAGCACTCTCAACTTCATCCTGGGAGCTGAAGTTAAGTAGTAAGTAAAATGTATTTATATAGCACTTTTTTTAAGACAAGAAGCTATTACAAAGTGCTTCACATACTAAGCATACTAAACAAAACAATATAACAATATTAAGGAAGTATAAAAGCATATCACATAGTTGGTGCTAGTGCAAGGATTTTAACATGGGAGTGATATAGGAGAATTTATTACTGTGCTGCAGCATTTTTGAAAGTGATTTAAGGAGGCCTTAGACAGACAGGAAAAGAGTGGGTTACAATAGTCTAACCAGGAGGAGATGAAGGCATGGACAAGCATCTCCATTTCACCTTTGGAGACAATAGTCCTAAGTTTAGCAATATTTCTTAAATGAAAAAAGCAGGAGCAGGTCATAGACTTGATCTGATCTCTGTCAAAAGACAGAGAGTGATCAAAAATTATCCCAAGATTCGGAGCAGTAGCTTTAATCGAGGATTAGAAAGAACCCAGACTTTGACTAATTTGGGGCTTGATACTCTCTGGGGCAAGAATTAAACGCTCAGTCTTGTCTGCGTTCAACTGCAAAAAATTGTTTGTCATCCAACCATTAATTTCCTTAGACAGCCCATTAGAGGGATAATTTGTCTAATTCCCAAGGTTTAAAGGAGATGTATCATTGGATATCGTCTGCATACAGATGGTAGGAAATAATTTTGAAACCGCTGATTATATGGCCTAAAGGAAGAATATATAATGAAAATAACAAGGGGCTTAAAACCGATCCTTGAGGGACTCCACGTGAAAATTGATGATTTACACGGTGAATTAAGATTTAATGATGAAGTCAGGCCCATCCCATAGTGAGACATCTCACTCATGCTATTCTGAGAACCGGGGTTACACAAGTAACCTGAAGTATATCACATTACAATTTACATCAAAGGGACACTGTTTTCATTAGCGACGGACATTGTTGGGATTAACAGTTTGAAATAACATTTCACTTGTTGAATTTAACACTACCTACTTAAGACTGTTATGCTAAAATAATTTTATTTGCATGTAAAAGTTTTGTAGAAAAACTAGCACTGAGTCCCACTCTTTTCTTTGTTTCCAGATCCCAAGACGAAAGCGTGGCTGCTGAAGTACCTCGACCCAGTATTTGGCTACCCTCAGTTTGTTCGATTTAGCTGGAGCACTGCCCAAACCCTAATGGACAGCAAAGCGGTTAATGTGCATTGGTAAAGAGCCTTCAAACTCTATTCTGATCAAAGTCCTACTTTGGTTATGAAATCCTCAATTAAAGGAGCATCTGTCCTTCTGTGATTCTGCTCTTATACTGTTTCTGCTATTTGTGAGCACAGATCTGGCTGATACCAATTTCTCATAGTGTATTTGCAAAATACTTTGTTTTTCAGTGTGTCTGTTAGATAAGAATACTTGCAAGATCACAGGTTACACTTAATCTCTGTGCTAATCGCTTGACCTTAGGAGACCAGTAGTTGGCACTGAGTTTAAAAAACAATCTTTGTCCTCGTAAATCTTTTCTCAGGGACGATGATGAAGAGGATGGCGAGAAGGCAGCGCAGAGGCAGAGCAACAAGTCAATGTTGTCCTACTTCAGTGTATCAGCTGGAGGTAACGACCAAAATGCAACCCACCAGGCACACCGCTTCTTCACTGAGCGGAGGCTCAAGAGCCTCAACACACTCTAAAGACACGTTAGAGGGCCTTCACATACATCCTGGAAGTCATAAATGCATTGTGGGACTTTTTTTGTAACACAGATGCAAACTTCAGTCATCTGTCTGTATTTGTCTTGTTTGTAACTGTTTTTATATATAAAGATGTTGTTTAAATATGTTTTAAAGCGTGTTCTGCATTCTGTACCATACATCAAGAACGAAGGTGGGTTCATTGCTGGATTGCGTTGCAGTCTGTAATGCCAATACTGCCCTCCATTGGTAAAATGAATGAAAAGCATCAACAGAATGTAGCAACTACTATTCGAGTTGGCAACACAAGAAGAACAAATTATTCATCGAAGTCTGACATCAGTGAAATCTTCAGCTTCATCGCAAATCTAAACAACTTATTAATTCTGTATACTTTCAGTAAAAACCGATGGACGTGGTCCATTGCAGATTTGGAACACACTTCATACTCTGCACAGTTTTCTTCAGATTGTAGCTCTTGGGTAGCTTTTAGTTGAGAATAAAACACAGCACTACTTAAAACAAGCGTCTTTAATTTTAACAAAAAAGCAACATAAATATTGTCACAATAAAACAGCCTTTAATTCTGTAAATTAGTAATTTCAAAGAAAAATGTACAGTTCTAAGTATCTTATTAATACAATCTTTAAATACTTCACAGCAGTTGGTAGTTGTTGTCGTTGCATTTCACGTGATAATACACTGAGTGATTCTGTATCCAGCTCTTGTAGGGAGACGGTATCTTTTGATATATTATGACTAAATAAAAATGACAGTCCAGGTTTTCCTTGAGTCATCAGTCCTAACAGACAGGTTGCCAAGAACAGAAACAACATAAAACAACATGTTACAAAAACTTCTGCTAAGCATCTCAAAAATAAAAAGGTACATTTTTATCACAACCGAGGGGTGGATATTTGGAACTTAATCATGTTTAGCTTCTGTTGTCTTCAGTGTTACATGCAACAGATATGAGGTAGAAGTAAGATGAGGTTTGATGGTATTACTGCATATATTTCTCTTCTTTAAAGCCCACTCTGTAATCTGTATCAATACAACAATGTGCATTTAGAGAGCACAGCTGAATTTTGAGATGACCTTCAAATGTTTATATTCCAGAAATCGCAGCGATTCTTTTTCCGGATCTGTCCCACGCTTCATCCTCTTCTAGGCCTTTTCTCCAGGACACTTTATGATGCATCACTTTTTACTACAGGATGATGAAAGGCAGCTGGCTAGGAGTTCCAGCTCCCGTCATATGAATATGAAAATAGATTCTGGCTAGGTTAGCCTAGCTGTTGGCTATGGAGGGAAATCCATTTCTCCACCTTGCTAGTTGCTGTTGGGTTTGTTTCTGGACTCCTGGATCCTCTTCCCGCAGTTCATAGCTAAGCTGGAGACGGCAAATGAGGAAAGGATGATGATAGAGCTCCCCACAAAGTGAGATGAGGCTCCTCTGGGGGCTGCTCTCAGAGCTCTCCTGGGGAAAGTTTCTCTGTCAAAGGCTGTCGTGGCAGTCATTGTCTGTGCCACTGGCTCCATGGTTGTGGAAGGTAGTCAGATGTCAGAAAGCTGAATTCCAAGGCAAGTTGGCTGCTGTAGCCTCAGCTGGAGCTGTCTGAATCACTCTGTGCTGCTGATTCCTTTCTTGATCCTTCTTCTATGGTCATTTATAACTTCCCCAGACTCCTCTTAAGTCCTTTGAGGAGCTCGATGTCCTGTTGCGTCAATGGGATTAGTTAGCGGTTGGCCCATGTGTAGATATGACACATGCAGATCTATTTCAGCTTAGGACTGCGCAATGTAATTCTATTAGATCATCCTGTCTTTGTTCCATAGTGAATAGGCAGCGTTATATATGGAATACAATCTTGCACTTTGTAAACATACAGTTATTGGCCACTTTGTTAGGTATACTTGGTAGAACTACCTTAATTCCTCATGGCACAGATTGAACAAGATGCTGAACGTATCATGGATTGTGATAGCATTACGTGATTGCTACCAATTGGTTTCTCATTCATGATGTTAATCTTTGTGTTTCACAACATGCCAGAGGTGATATCTGGTGACTGAAGTTCAGTTGAGTACAGTGAACTCATTGTGATGTTTCATTGAGACTGTGCGAGTTGTAGTCTAAGTGTCCCGTTCTGTGCTGACGGGAGTGACAGTCTTCTGCTGCTGTAGCCCATGTATTCGAAGTTTGTTGTGTTTTGCATTTAGAGATGCTCTACTGTTGATCTCAGCTGTAACAAGTGGTTATTTGAGCTTTTGTTCCCTGCCTATCAGGTTGCGGCGGTCTGGCCATTTTCTGATCTCTGACATCAGCAAGGCAGAGAACTGCCTCCCTCTTTTTCAGATTATAGCATGTAAACTGGAGATCATTGTGGGACAAAATCCCAGTAGATAAACCGTTTTTGAAATAATCATACCACCCCATTTGGCACCAACACCAATACAGATGCACATTCAGAAACATTTGATCAATTTTTTTTCTCCCATTCTGATGCTTAGTTTGAACTTAAGCAAATCATTTTGACCATGTCTGCATGCCAGTGAGTTACTGCCATGTGTTTGGCTGTTTAGATATTTTCATTTACGAGCAGTTGAACAGGTGTGCTTAACATTTTATGACAAAACAAAAAGAAACTATACCACCTTACCCTCCAAATATTTCTTTTGATTTTTAAATCCAACTTTAAATACGTTCCACATTTAATATTTAATTCAAGTCAGAGAAATAAATATGAAAAGCTAAACCTGATAAAGTAAGGCCGATATTCAAAAAGTAAAAAGAAAGAAAAGAAGACATGAGGTGAAGCAGACCGGAACCTACAAACATTTTGTGAGTCACTGAGGACCGTCAAAGAGGACTGTTGTGTTTTGTTTTTTTTCCCGACCACGTAACGTCTGCCCCCTTCGTTAAGAAAGCTGAGCTGTTGACTGAAAAGGATCAGGGGAAGATCCAGGCTGATTTGCAGGCAAGAGTACATCAGCTTAGGAAACTGAGCAGGATACGTACACACATCAACCTAAAAGTTATAATTAACATTCTGTAAATATATTTTCCAAATATTTTATATATTTTATATTAGCTATAAGTATCACTCAATGTTGATACATTTTAAATAATCTGTTCTCATTTAACCCTTCCTGTTAATGAAGTGCTCCACAGCCAACATAATTTTTCATCTTTCTTCGTTTTCTATATGATTTATATCGCAAATACTCTTACATTTTATTACACTCAGTGACGCTGAAAGGACTTTTGTGGATTTTGTCCTGGACTTTTGCTGAAACAAATCAGGAAAGATTTTTCTGAGGGGATTTTTAAACTATTTTTCAACATTTTATGCATTAAACAGTACACTGATAATCGGGCCCAAATGTATTATTTTACTCCCAATCATTTTTGTTTATGCCACATTATTTGTTTAGAATTCCTAACGCTATTAACATATTTAGTTTGTGATTGAACTGATATCATTGATCATGAGTGAAATATACATTTAGACAGCATACAGTGAGCTGTACATGTAAAAAAGTAATTTCTGAATTCACTGAGACGTAAGAAAAAGCTTCCACCAAAGGTCAGACTGTACAGCCAGCTTTAATTTGAGCTGGCTTTTGGCACTGAGGAACATATCCTGTCTTGACCCAGGCACAAGGGGTCAGCAGGTCTCTAAATCTGTCATTACGCATAGTCCTAGTTTCTTTAGTTCATCTCTTTAATTGTTTAATTGGATTGCACTGGTTTTTTTTCCACTACTAGCACAGAAAGCTTTCATGAATTAATCTCTGGTGGTGGAGCTGTTGTAGTTGTGTGAGACAAGAAAATCACGCTGCATAATTTTGTCCAAAAATAGGAATTATTTATGTAACTAATCACAACTCAAACACTCCTTCTGCTGCTCTCTGACCCGTTAAATGTCAGACTGAACTTAACAAGGTCTGTAATAGAGATGCATGACCTAAAGTCATGTGAATAAGAGCACCCTCCTTCAGTCCTCCTAAGGTTTTACATACTAGGGCATAATACCAGGTTCTGAAATTATGTAATGCAACCCCAGATGAACAGCAACACATGACATATTACACTGTGTCATTATTTAACGAAAGCTAAGCCAAAAGGCAGAAACAATGTGAATCACTCCATGATTCGTGATTGGCCCACACTTCTTTACAGTTTTGCTTCAGTTCCTTGAGGTTTGTGCTCATTTGTTCATGCACATTCCTATCACAACCTTTCAGTCAGGTTGAGGTCTGGACTTTGCCTGGGTTCTTGCCATTCTGTTGTATATGTGCTGGATCATTGTCCTGTTGTATGATCCAATTTGGTCCGAGCTTTAATTGACAGATGCCCTCACCCTGCCAAACAAGCCATGCATGTTCGGTGTTTTTCTAATTGTACTTTCATGAAATTTAATATTCTAACTCTTGTTTTATTGCAGTTTATCTGAGTATTGCACAGTCTGACCTTGGAGGACCTCCAGTCATGGGAAGATTTTGCTGCCAAAATTCAAATTAAATAAATAATAACACAGTGTAATATGCTTAGGTTCTGTTCATCTGAGGTTGTGTTTAAATCAGGTGATGTAAGGTGATGGATGGATATGTAAAGACTTAGTATTGGGCGTACTTTCTTTTCACTGTAAGCATCCAAGCAACATTTACATAATAAGGTTATCACTTGCAGTATCTTCAGAATGAAAGATCTGTTGCTATGGCATGAAAAACTGTGCTGTAATTAAGAGAAATGTGAAGGAGGCCGTTCACATTGTTGACATTTCCACAAAAATATCAACAATGTGAATTTCAATTTGTGATTAAAAAAGGGTTGCCCTTCAAAACAAATCTCTCTTTTGTGATTTCACATTTTCAATGTGATGCAAAAAGCTGCTCGATGCAATGTTGTATTTAAACAGTCAAGATAATGTTACTGATTTTGTTTTATTTAATATCAAAGACAGTCTGCACCATCTTATTAAAAAATATCAGATGGCTAAATGTTTCGTAAATGCCATCATCTGTGTCAAGTGACCTTTGAGGATTTCTTCATTAAACTGCAGAAACGTCTGCCTGACATTTCATGTTTGCCTTCTTCTGCCTAAAGATTTAAAGACAATTCAGCAGATAAGACACCGCTTT